TGGGAGGGGGGGTGGGTGGAGGTGGGGCAGCTGTACGACATGGTCAGCTGAGCCAGGTTGGGGGTGTCAGAGGAGAAAACTGAGGAGCCCTGTCCACTGTCCAGACCCCCTTCAGCTGAGAGAGAGAGGGAGAGAGAGTGAGAGAGTGAGTGAGTGAGTGAGTGAGAGAGAGAGAGAGAGAGAGAGAGAGAGAGAGAGACACAACATTTGTGCACAATGTGATGATACCATGCATTATGATCTGGGCTCTATCTGATATTTTGAATCTCTCTCTTAGTCTTACATGCTTGCAAGATGGCGGTCTGCTGATAGTGAAGCTGCTGATGCTCCACGTCTGTCTCCTCCGCTTCTACCTGCAAACACAACAACACAATCTGGGGTCAAACAAGAATAAATAAAAACAGAAAAGCACAATTTCTAGGTGCTCCCACTGGACACAAGTCCAACAGTGAGTTCCAACCACCAATCAATTAATCAAGGTACAAATATACTAACAACTGACCGACAAGCTTCTTAACATTAGACAATGCCAACTGTTCAACTCACCTGTGTGTGGGAAAGTTTGAGTGTCTCTTGTTGCTGCTGCTGTTGCTGTTGTTGTTGTAGCTGTTGTTGCTGAAGCTGTTGTTGCTGCTGAAGTTGTTGTTGTTGTTGCTGCTGCTGCTGCTGCTGCTGCTGATGAAGCTTTTGTTGTTGTTGTTGTTGTTGTTGCTCAGTCTCCAGTCTTCTCTTCTCCTGCTCCTCTCTTACCAGCTGCCTCTGCTCTCTCTTGCGGCGGATCAGAGACACGCGGTCCTTGATGGCCTTGGCCATGGTCTTATGGTCCCCCTCAGCAACGTAGCCAGACTCAACCTGGGCCAAATATACTCCATTTAACAATAACCCTTCACTTTGCCATGGAGTTATTTCCATCCAAAATCCTTCCCTTCTGTCTATCCCCTCTTCCCTTAACCCATCACTTCCTCCCACCATGAGTCCATTTCTTCAGTTCCTGCCTTGCATTGTACGTACCATTTCCTGCGCCACATCTTCAGGGACGTCCTTGATCAGGTCAAAGGAGAACTCAATGGCTTCGTTGTCTTTGTATTTGCCTGCAAACAAGTTGACACATTGCTAGTCAGGAAGCTGCCCCTGTTCTCCTAAAGTAAATTCAAATCTATGATATTAATAATTGCATCATAGGCTAAGTGTTTTCATTCTTCAACAGTTAAATTGTGCTTTTTCAGTAGCTTAGAAATGCTGCTAGGGTATATATTCCATATTTGGGTCTGAGACTGTATAAGGAATGCTAAAAAAAATTCCTATTACAATTTTTTCTACATTTAAATAATATCCTAATTAAATGGCAAAACACAATTATTCTTGCCTTTGAGCTTCTTTACGTCTTCTATCCTGAGCCAGAGTTTGATGGCAATCATTTCGCCATCATCCTCTTCTGCCAGTTCAACCCTGACCCCTGTGTCCTCCTGGAAGAACGCATGGTTCAGCAAGATCTTTATAGCATATCTAGAGGAACAAGAGAAATAAATAGAAATTCAAGAGAGAATGTAATGTTGTTGCTACTTGAAAGAAATGTTTTCAAGACCAGTGTCCTGTACTACGAAACAGGATTTTCGGTTAGCGAGGTAACTTCAGGGTTAACTCTGGGTTTCCGGTCCTACGACGCTGGTTCACTTCTTACCGGTAATGTAGATCTCCATGGTAACTTATGCTGAACACCTAACCTGCTCCGGAGCATGTGGGTATGTGTGAGCGTGTGTTTGTGTCTCACCTCTCATCCTTGTTTGTTCTGATGCAGCCCTCTATAATTTCCTTCACCTCAGGAATGGCTACCTTGTCAAAACTGCCTGGTTTTACTCCCTGCACAAACAAAAGAAAGATCAGTGAAGTCAAGAAAACGAAATACCAAAAGTAGACCCGAATTCGGACACACACACAGTATACATTTGGCACTAAGAAAGGGCACATTTATTGGATAATATCAAGTTACTAAGAACACAGAACTTCTGTCAGACCTTTCCGTACAACATTCAGAAGCTCAACACTAAACTGAAGTTGAGCTACAGCAGGAGGCATCATAATGAACTATCCATTCTTTCAAACACTAGAGGAACAACATAAAGAAAGAAGCAAAGTCTAGCATGAAGGGAGCTGAGGTCAATCTTGGAAATATAGAAAAAGCTGCCAATTGAAAATGACTTGCTCCAAAAGAAAAGTATGAGAATCAGTACCTCTGTGCATGATACAGTGGATAAAATGTCAACACACTCTCCGGTCAATCATGTAATCAATTCAATACCTTTGCTGGTTCTTTGTAAAAAGGTTGCAGACTAAGGCCCATGTGAAATGCATTTAATAAAACAGATTAAATGTACACCGATACACCTTTTGAAAAACTAAATCCGAAGCACTTTTAAAAAGTTTTAAAGACAGAAAGAACACAAGAAAGCCATATAAAAAGGTACAGTAGGCTACTTACCTAGAAAGCACTGGGTTCAATAAACTAGAGGAGACTGTTTATGTTAATGTCAGGAAATAACAACCTACTTCTGCTCTTGTCCACAAGCTCTGTCCTCCCTTTCTCCTTTCTTTCTTTACTTTCTCTCAGTTTCTCTCCAGCAACCCCCCCCCAGTTATGGGTTTATAACTTGCACTGGTACTCGTCTTATACCTGGGTAAACGTTTTGTACCTTAATATCGGTCTGTTTCCAAACAACAAATTTGAATTTTTTACATTCACAAATAGATCATATATAGTATAGGAAAACAACGGATGATAGACTGGCCGTTTATTGGTACTTCCCTAAGCCTAGTCTAACAGAAATTTTGGATGGTCACACTCTCTTTTATTATCCAGGAGCTTAGTGAGGAGAATTAAATGGGAGATAGAAAGGGGGAAGAAAGGTAAGGGGAAAGAGTGACCTTTTTCAATTTTGTTGGGGTAAATTAAATTGTGAAAAAACTAATACTGACACTGAGTGGAGACCCGAGTGTCAGACAAACACCGTACGTTAATATTATATGTGTAATGCATAGTAAATGCGAAGGACTAAGACATAAGTAAGTCGCTCGTACTCAGTTTGGTTTGGTCGAAGTCACAATAAACATAGTGTGTGTGTGTGTGTGTGGTGTGTGTGTGTGTGTTGGTGTGTGTGTGTGTGTGTGTGTGTGTGTGTGTGTGTGTTGTGTTGGAACACTGTTGGCGTCCACGGGGGTCAGTGGACGGAAGAAAGTAGAAGTGACGGATTAGGTAGGATCGCGAAACCGTTGGGAAGCAAAGAGTCGTGTCCAATCTGGAAATCAATTGTGGACAAGTGTCTTTTGCATAATTTTTCACCTGTAAACCAGTTTTACACACAATACCAGAACGACCCTGGAAGTTAAACAGTAGCATACCTCCGTCACTGAAACCCAGTTGTTCATAACAGAATAACATACCGAACAACTGTTAACTCAAATAATTAATTCGTAAACCGGAAAACGTTGTTTTCACCTTTATGTGAGTCACTTGGAAAGTATGAGAAAATAACAACTTGATATGATATACGGGACATTTTATTGTCGTGGAATATAACTTACTGGGAGACCTCTCGTGTCACCACCCCCTATATGAATATATGGAACGGTAATGTAACAACAACCTGTTCGACAGTACCAAGAAGAAGAAGAAGAAGAAGAAGGAAGAAGAAAAGAAGAAGATAGACCTTGTAAGGAATCGAGGTAGTCGGATTACTTGTAAGGAAGAAAGAGAGAGAGACAAAAAGGAGGAGGGTAATACAGCCTGAATTATGTATGAAGAGTAGAGAGGATTCAAAAGAAAACGGGACCTTAATTTACACCCACACTCTCAGCCTCCCTCCCCCCAAACACA